CACACACACACACACACACACACACACACACACACACACACACACACAGACCCTAGCACGGGCCACGACATGTGAGCACACCCAATCCATGAAGTTGATGTGCATTCCAGCTGGAGATCGTAAACGAAATCCCCACGTACCCTGGCTGTGCAGCGAACATGAGAAGTCCGGCAATCTCCCATAGCTCCTGTCATGGTCACCTTCGCGGGCTGACCCTAACAACAGTGTCAGGGCAGGAGACCCCACGATCGGTATCATCAGCTATGGTGCAGCGTCCCGATCCCACCCGCCGATGGCCCCCACATATCACACTCTCCTTCCTCCACCGAACTAGGATTCCTGACAGAAGTCAAGTGAGACCAGCAAAGACCAGGGGCATATCACTGCTCCCTCGGCATGCCACCCTAACACCCTAGTGTTCTTCCCTGCGCCGCCATGGTCACGCCAGCGCCAAGTTTTGGCAATTGAAGCAGACAGATTTCGTCGGCCCCATGAGCGATCCCCAACGCCCGAACGCCGCCACCCCCCAACGCTCGAACGCCGCCACCCCCCAACGCCCGAACGCCGCCACTGGGGTGGCGCGTTAGCGCAGCGCAGCGTTACCGCTGCGCTAACGCACCCCCGCCACAGGGTAGCACAAAATACACCAAATAAGCATGGCGCCTCAGCAAGGATGACAGGCATAAATCCAGAAATGTTTCCTTTTTTTTTTGCTTGGCCCGTTAGTTTTTTTTCTTTTTTTGCGAGGTAAGTCCGTTCATGTCACCTTGGAATATCGGATGGCAACTAGGGGAGGTGGGTGGAGAGTGCCAGGGAGACTCGGAACGTCGGTTCCACCGGTCGTGCAGGCCGGCTTCAGGCCGTACTAGGCCTGACAGTGTGAATTAGTCTAGGCATAGGTAGGGGTAGGAAGATAAGAGTTTTGGACAAGCAGTTGGGACATACTGTGGGATAAGTAAGACAGTCAAATAATGCAGAAAGTACCAACGACATGGCTAATAGCAAGGTTTGCAGATCTAGCCTAGTAGAGTACGACAGAGTTCACAGTGGTACGATAAGCTAAACTGGCTGATGCTGCCAGCATAACACCGGGGGCCAAGTCCCACTTGACCGGATTCTTCATTTCTAGCCGTTGATTTTCACGATCTAGCCTAGTAAAGTTTTGTCGAATTCAAGTTGTGTTTAAGAAAAAGAAAAAACGAAAGAAAACAGAAAAAAGAATATCGAATGGGCAAAAAACACGCGCATCGGCAAAGAAAACTGCGCCGAGTTCGAAAAAAAAGTCAACGGAAGTTCCGCCGGCCATGGTGTCCGACCGGCGGGTGTCATATTTATTTACAGGGGTCGGCCAAGGTGTCATAAGGGGAAAACAAATAAAAAAGAAAATGGCCATGGGTTCTTTTGGACCGAAATCGCTCATTTTGAGTTCGCACATGCTTTCTTCGCCTACGCGAGTTTTTTGTGCCTTTAGCATTTTTTTTGCTTTTCTTTT